AATTAATATACTTATATTTACTAACTAGAATTTAGCAATATTATATTGAAATTAATTTTTTACAGAAGTTTCAGTGAGAACCATTATGAGAACCATTTAGAAATACAACCACTCTATTATTGATTTTAATTAACAGTGACTTTATATACTTAAAAGTTTTTGTATTTAAGCATACCAGAACAAAGATTAAATAGTTGAAAAATCATAATGATAATAATGGAGTACTGGAAACACTCAAACTCATGATCTCAAAACTGACAGTCAGTTATACCTGTAATGCTAGATAAGGAATTAATAACAGTCAATTATAAGGTGAATGCAATTTTTTTTCCAAGCACTCATACTTTAAAATGTTACACGAGACCCTTTGCAAATATTTACAAAATCAGTGGTAATTTTTGCATAACAACAGTATTTTTTTTTCTTCCTCATGCCGATGAGACTAATAGCTTTTAAGATATGGGCTTATATTATCATAGAATCAGAATGGTCTGGGTTGGAAGGGACCTTGAAGACCATCTAGTTCCAACCCCCCTGCCAGTGGACACCTTCCACTAGACCAGGTTGCTCAGAGCCCCATCCAACCTGCCCACATTTCATGGAATCTAAACCCCATGAAACTACTAACCACTCACTAACTTGTGAGTTAAGCTAGTTCCATGTATGTTGGAAACAGTGATCTTACAACTTGCCATACATTTCCTGTTTGATCCCACTCTGAAAGACTATCAGATTTAGCTTTTTCCCCCTTATTATTACTTCCAAATTTGAAAATCAAGATTTCACGCTGTTAAAATTTTCTCATTTGATACGACAATATAGAATCTGACAGGACAAAAAAGAATGAAAATTTCAATTTACATGCAGCAATCCTGAGACAAAATATCAAAATGCATTTATAAAAATGGCACATGAAATTCATGCCTTGCACTTTGAGAAAACAAGCTAAAAACACTGATGGGGACTTAGATGTGCCTGCTTTCTGTGCAATGCAAACTCATTGCTTCTATATTCATCAGAGCTCAGAAAGCACAAGGTCAGGAAATACTGCAGCAGTGCTATTTGTTAGGCTAGACTAAACAAGTACATTTGGTCAGTCAGCCTGTTATAAACCATGCTGCTGTACTTTCTCTGTGGTTAAACTGAAACAGAGCATTATAAAATGCCTTACAGGAATTTAGAGCTGTTAGCACCAAAAAGCTACTCTGAAACTTGTTAGTCGTGTTTCAGGATATGAGCACTGTAAACCAAGCAATTCAAGCAGGCATTACAGAGGAAAGTCCTTTAACCAAAAGGTAAGATTGGTTTTAATCTAAAAATCAGTTATGCGGTTTTCCAAAGACTATGGACTATCCACTGGCTTAACTCTAACACTGACTCAGTAGTTCTGAAAATGTGGCTACAAAAAGGTTTTTGGAAATACAAAGTTATAAAAAACCTCTTCAATTTATTGGCTTTTCTAACTGTTGGCCTAAAAACCTAAACATCCCGAACCTACTTAAAACTCCAAAGGAAACTGAATGGTCTTCCTGAATTCAGCTCCCCAAGTCAAAATGTCAAACAATTCCACAGCCTTTCCTTGGGCTGCCGGAGAACGGGGGGGGCTGAAGCAGCAAAAGGAGGAAAAATGAAAAGCTTTACAGTGGTGATGTTCATTCTTCAGCCTGAGGCACTGTGAGCAAAACACTTGAAAATTATATCTCTGTACTCTCCGTTAGGGGACAAACAGTCAGCATATGACACAAGCAGAGTAAATCCTCTGTCGTGATCTAACGTGCAATCCGGTGATAGGGGAGCCAGGGAGGGCAGGGGAGAGGGGAGGGAGTAGGACGGGGAAGGGCAGCAGAGGGCAACCGGATTGTGCATCTCTCCAGCACCTAATTCATTTCATGGTCCGCTTCAAATACTCTCCACTGGGCCAGTTTTTTCTCCTGCGCCAGATTTAGCCTTTAGGGCTGCTGATTGCTAACTTCTGATTTATGTTTGTTTCTGCATATTAAAAATACCCAAAACAGTCACTGCCTTGGGAAACTGACATTTTAGAGTGTCTTGAAGACAGGCAACCTGAAAGTCATATTCTAGCAAAACACATTTGCAAGACGCTTGTCATTTCAGCTGCTTAATGGCTTTACTAAAGAAGTTACTGAACACAGCCGTAAAGTTACTGAACATCAGCAGTAAAGTAATATTTTAGTTTAATAAATATTCACCTATTTTTCCAAACCATTTTAAAAGCCTTTATCATACTCTCTCACAATTCAGCAAGACTGACTTCTGCCATGTTACCAACAGAATGACAGTGGGATTAAGATAAATCCTTCAGAGGACATTTGCTGACAAAAGAGGAAATAGATCACCCAGAACAAGCTGTGGGAACCAAAAATTAACACATTCTGTACGAATGAAAGGAAGATGTGTAAAGAAAAATCCCAGGTAGACTTTAAATTAAATGTATCTGGGTTCATTTCCATCTAATTTAATTATGCAATTTGCTGACCTTCATTGGAAAGCTGACAAGAATATCCTTTGTGACTCTGCATCTAAGAAAGTCATTTGACTTGCTACCTATAGTGCCTTCATATCCCAGGCTATTACTCTGGCAGTACAGGAAGATGCTCAGAGTCCAGCAACCCCAGGTCCACTGCACTCTGAGGAAGAACACATCTAGATTAATTAAAAAAAAAAAGACAGAACTGAAATTTTCGTTTTCAGTGTTTAGAGAGACCTGGAGGAGGACAGGATATACAATTTGCATAACCTAACAAGCATTTACATTTCCACATCTTTGTCTCAGTAGTTCCACATTTGCCCATTTCTGACAAATAATTTAATTTTAATGGTTAGCTTCGCGAAATTTTATGGGAGGATTAAACAGGCAGCAACATTTAAGATATTAAATGGTCTTCATTAGAGTTTATGATCTGGAATAACATTATGAGATGTTAGGAAAGAAACTTAAATAAAGTTAAGATAGTCAAGTTTCTACTGCAATTCAAGAGTTTTATGTCTAATTTCTATCAACTAGTTCACTTCAGAATCATCACGAGCTCATCTTTGCAAGCTAGAAATATTTGAAAACTTTATTAGTGTACTTCTGAAGAGGAAACAAAATAGATTTCCATATCAAGCAATTTCAGAAGCTGAAAGTGGCTTATCTTTTCTTGCAAGCTTCAGTGTTTATCTTGAGATATTAAATAGTTTATCAGCTAATGTAGCCAGTCATGGAAACATTACGAAAACGACTCACTTAGTACGGTTTCCTGATCACTGTGATCTCCCATCAGTGAGATGAACAATGTTATTTTAGAAAATAACTATGCTTTCCAGAGAAACTCAAGCTATCATTTCAGTTATTTCAAAGATGAACACAAGGTAACAGTGGATCCAGCACAGATATTCTGTAGAATTTACATGTGTACTGGATTCATGTATTCTGTGAGCAGAAAAAAATAGAATTTGTGTCTTTGCTGTATATTGATATCTGCAATTACATCATCCGATGAGGAAGACACATGTCCTGTTGATGTGAGACTGGAAAGAGGAACTGCAGTTTTTAGATTAGGAAAGCTGCCACTGCCAATTGTGCTGGTGGCCTATTCATTTTACCGAAATGGGGGAAGTAGCTGGAAACAAACATTAAAGCACTCTAAGTAATTCTGGATGAAGTAAAAACAACTTATTCTTTCTTTAAAGGAAGATATGGTTCCCTACTTATAAGTACATCAAGTATTCAAAGGCTGGCTGCCTGAAGTTAAGGCATGAAGCTGTGATTACCCATGTGCAATAAATGATCTGAGATCCCCATTCACTTCTACGGAAATTATGAGCAGTGTGCATCTCTAAGCATAAAGTAATCTTTTAATCTAAGTACTCAAACTCGAATTCCAAGAAATGAAATTTAAAAATTTAAAAAAAATAAATTGCCCCCAATTCCTGTATTAATGACATGGAAATAATTTATAAAAATCACTTCCTCATATGAAAGAGCAGAAAAGGAACACTTAACATATGCAACCAATAATTAATTTTCTCACCTATAAAAATATTGGGAAAGAGAATTATCACACAGCAGTTCAGCACATGTAATTAAGTTCCTGAAATGTCTTTCAGTAAAGTCAGTGCATAGCTAAAATATTCTGCCAGTACTATTAAGTTGTTTAGAAAAATAAAAGAGAGAATCCTATTGGCTTTAGATTTTTCTTAAAAGTTCATTTAACTTGATCCTAAATCCTAATTTTAGGTCAGACAGACCAACCCAGACTTTTGCACTGCAAATGTTGTGAGTAATGTTATGTCAAAATTAAGATCCGTAACTGTGACAGGGCTGTGTTAGTATAGGGACTGCCGCGTTATTTAAATTCCTGAATACGGCCCGAGGACAAAAGGACTGCTTGGAGTAAGATCACTGTCCTGCCCAAGGCCTAGCTACATGCTCACAGCACAGCAAAGGTATTATCTTCACCTTTGAAGTATGTCGGGAGGTCCTGGAAGTACATGTATTGTCTCTCTCCGAAGATTTGGGGGTCTGGGTTACAGTATCAGAAATACTGTCCAGTGTGCTTTAAAGAGGAGACATCTTAATCATACTGTTCTCTAAAACAGGAGGTCAAGAAACTCTGGTACACAATGGTTTCTTTTTATAAATAACTATTAGCAAGGTGTGAGAACCATGCTCCTGCCTAAGAATTCAAGACAAAATTTCAATAAGCTTTTACACTCAAGTAATATAAAGAGCAATATGAGGTTATAGCACTATTTGTAATTAAATATACATACAAGAAGTAAAAAAATCACTCAGAATTTCTGTAGAAACTTAGAACTGTGCAGAGATTTTATCTTCATTTTCTCTAGTCACCATCACCATTATGACTGAAAATTATTTATGTTTTCACATTTAAACTTTAACTTAATATGCAACTTCATGAAATCAGGAGAAATTAGTAAATACTTGGTACAACAGTCAGTATAGAATTAAGACAGGTTGACTGCAGTAAATATACTTTCTGTTAAAATACCTGAGGAGGTGGGGTCTTCAGAGAAGTCTGGCAGCTCTTCAGGGGGGTCACCATAGAAGGAGTTGAATTTGTGGCTTGACACAGCTGCTAGTACTGCCCCCTGAATAAAAATACCCACAAAGTCTAAATTACACAAAGACGGATAATGAAACATTTCCAGACACCTTGGATCACTCAATCTCCCGAGGTCTCTCGTGTGTTGACGTTCTCTCACTGAAGACTAAACGAATTTTATAGTCTTCAGCTCTGCTTCACTGCTACCAGTGACCATATTTAACAGAAAAGCCGGTCATATTCTACTCTAATAAACAGTAAATATATTCTTTGCAAGCGGATTCTTGAGAACAAGTCTTTATGGGAAAACATTTAAAAATAAATGTGAGGCGTACATCCCCATAGTACAATGTAAACAAAGTAACTAATTTCTTTCTC